GGGGAATGCTGAAGTTCCTGGCAGGCCCCTCTCTTCCCTTCTGAAATTCCTATTTCACTCCAAGCTCTTATAGAAATATATAATTATTGTTGTTGTTTGTGAATGTGTATGTTTGTGTGGTGTGAAGTTGAAATACTGTGTTCACTTGTTTTCAGCCTGGAAAAGCTTTAGTATTTTGTAGATGGCAGTCCTGCTAGCCATTGCTATTTCTTTGAGAATTTTCAAAATTTTGCCTCATTTTTGAAAGGTTTCTTTGTTATATATGTTTCTGATGACAGATTTATTTTTTTATCACTTTGATTATATTATCTCACTGGAGTCTTGTGCTCATTTTATTTTTTTTTTTTATTTTTTTTTTATGTGTGTGTGTGTGTGTGTGTGTGTGTACCATCAAATTAGATCTGACTGATACAGGAGGAGATGGCCCCTCCTTCTCCGGCAGAGCATCTGGTGGATTCGAACCACATATCTCTGGGATTGCAGTGCAGCTTCTTGATGCAAAGACAGCTTACTGAGTTCCTTATCATTTCCATAACCCCCCTCCACTCACACCTTGGTGATTTCTAGATGTTACTGTCTTAGCTTTGAGAATTTTTAATATGATGGGCCAATGCATAGATCTCTTTAATTCTACTGGAAGGTTTGTTGGATTTCCTGAAACTGTAAAGTGATGTTTTTTTCATCAAATTTAAGACTTGTTCAGCCATTATTTTCATTTTCACTCATCTTGTGATACATTTTATTTTGCTTCTTGCTATCTCACATTTCTCTGAGGCTGTCTTCATTTATTTCCTCATCTTTCTTCAGATTTCATAATCTCTTAATTCTTAAATATTACAATGAAATGTGCAAGGATTTGGAATCAGAAAATCAAAAGGGCTGAACTCACTCAGCGTTTCTTAAGCCCAAGGAACTGAAGAACAAATTCAGACCTCGAATTGCTATAATCAAGGATGCTTTGGGCAGAATATTAAATGATCCAGGAAGTATTAAAAGAAGATGGAAGGAATATACTGAGTCACTGTATAGAAAGGAATTGGCAGACACAGAAGAATTTAATGAAACAACATTTGAGCAAGAGCCTATGGTGCTGAAGGAAGAAGTTCAGGCTGCTTTGAAGGAAATAACGAAAAATAAGGCCCCAGGAATAGATGGTATACCAATTGACATATTTCAGCTAACAGATGCTGCCCTGGATGTGCTCACCAAGCTGTGCCAAGAAATCTGGAGAACAGCCACTTGACCAGCTGACTGGAAGAGATCTGTATTTGTTCCCATCCCAAAGAAGGGTGACTCAACATAGTGTGGAAACTATAGAACAGTATCATTGATTTCACATGCAAGCAAGTTGCTGCTGAAGATTATCCAAAAGTGACTGGAACAGCACATCAGCAGAGAACTGCTGGAAGTCTAGGCTGGGTTTAGAAGGGGTTGTGGTACTAGGGATATTGTAGCTGATGTTAGATGGATCTTAGCTGAAAGCAGGGAATACCATAGGAATGTCTATCAGTGTTTCATTGACTATGCAAAGGCGTTTGATTGTGTGGACCATAACAAACTGTGGCTGACTCTGAGAAGAATGGGAATCCCAGAACTCTTGATAATGCTAATGAGAAACTTATACTTGGACCAGGAGGCAGTCGTCAGAACAGAGCAAGGGAACACTGCATGGTTCAAAATTGGGAAGGATGCACTCCAGGGATGTGTTCTGTCTCCATACCTTTTCAACCTGTATCCAGAACAGATTATCCGGGAGGCTGGGCTCTTTGTGGAGAAATGTGGGGTCAGGATGGGTGGAAGATCTGTCAACAGTCTGTGTTATGCAGATGACACAACCCTGCTTGCTGAAACTGAGGAGGACCGGAAGCGTTTACTGCAGAGGGTCAAAGACTATAGCCTTCAGTATGGATTGAGGCTCACTGTCAGGAAGACAAAGATTCTCACCACTGGACCAATTGACAGCATCATGATGGAGGGTGAAGAGATTGAGATTGTTCACAGTTTTACTTTGCTTGGCTTCACAGTCAACACTCTTGGCACCAGTAACCAGGAAATTAAAAAGACCTATTGTGATGGGAAAGTATGCTGTTAGGGAACTTTCCCAAGTTCTGAAGGGAAATGGTGTCTCTCTGGAGACTAAGGTGCTTCTGATACAGGCCATGGTCTTTGCAATCATTTGTTATGCATCAGAGAGTTGGACAGTGACTAGGGAGGATGGGAGAATTGATGCCTTTGAGCTGTGGTGCTGGAGAAGAGTGTTGAGGGTATCATGGACTGCTAGGAAAAAAAAACCAGATTCATCCTGGAGAGGGTTAAACCAGGGTGCTCCTTGGAGGCAAGGATTCTGAAGCTTCATCTAACATACTTTGGACATGTTGTAAGGAGGGACTGGTCCTTGGAGAAGGACATGGTGCTTGGGAGGGTTGGAGGGACAGCACAGGAGGGGAAGGCCCTCTATGAAGTGGATTGATTCAGTAACTGGGGTAATCGGGATGGGTATGTCGGAGACAGTGCGATTGGCACAGGATAGAGCAGGGTTTAGGGCTGTTGTACATAGGGTCGCTATGAGTCGCAAGCGACTCAACAGCACATAACAACAACAACAATAATGGTAAATCTACTGTTTAGCCCTTGTAATGAATATTTCATTTCAGTTATTGGACTTTTTAAACTCCAGATTTTATTTTTTCTTTAATTTCTGTCTGCTGTATTTAATAAGACATTGTTTTCAGACCTTACCTTATTTTTTAAAACAGGATTTCCTTTAGAATTTTTAACTTATTTTTGATGTCTCCTTTGAAGTCATTGTTAAATTTGACATTTGTTCTTTCCAAGTCTGCCTCTGTAGTCTGTACACGTTTTCCTGCATTAATGTCTCAGATTTTATTTTCTTTGCCTGTTTCATACTTTCTGGTTTGACATGTGGACATTTTTGATAATATGTTTTAGGAGATAAGTTTTTGTAGATAAATAAGTTTTGTAGATAAGTTTTTCTGTTAAACCTCTTTTCTCAATAAAGTCTATTCTTGACACCTTGGATGTGTCTCCATAGAGGGTATAGCTTTGGGCATGCTCACAGTCAGCATGGGATGTTTATGCTTTTCACAGGTTTCACTTTGACCATTTCTCTCCTGATCTCACCCAGCTAATTAGCTCTACTATTGCCTGTTGATTTACCTTTTGTTTTAAACATGTCTTGGGAAGTCATTTGCTCTACAGCCCAATTAAATTCCTGCTCTTTTGCAAGGATAGCATTTGAGGTCAGTGTTTGAGAATTGTTCGGACCTCCAAAAGTTTTTTGTTAACAGTCTCTTCTCCTGTTTCAACTGTGCCTATGAAACACCTTGTATCTCTAACAAATCTACCAGTCTTTTCTTAATTGCTTTTCACCACAGCCTCTATTGTTTTAATCAGTAGACTTTGTTTTTTCCTTTATGAATTTACCAATTCTAAATATTTCATCTAAATGGAAAGACAAGATATGGCCTTTTTTGGGGTCTAGTTTCTTTCACTTAGTGTAATGTTTTGGCTATATAGCCACTTTATAGAAATCTATTGCAGTAGTCTGTAGGAATTTGCTGGGCTCAACCAAAGTCCATGACTGACTTGTGGTTTGGATCTAGTAGGAACTCTGAGGGACAAGGTACACAGTTTCCTCCACCTCGGGAAGCCCACGGGGGAGGTAGTGTCAGCTTTATGGTGATTCTGATGTGGCCACAATTGAATGAGTGAATGATCTGCTTGATAGCAAGTGTTGGAGCTTTATTCTTTTTTAAGGCTTGTAGCTTTCTACCATTCCTTAAAATATTAATAGATTTTCTTATGATCTCTGTGTCAGTGAGAAAATGAGTTATAAAAGAAATTAATGTATTTCTGCACTGTAAGATTTCAGTGCTAATTTTTTTTTTTCAGCGCTAATTTTGATTTCTTGGAGAAGAACATTATGCTTGGAAAGGTAGAGGCTCAATGAAAGAAAGGAAGACCTTTAGCCAGATGAGTTGGCAAAGTGGCTGCAGCAATGTTCAGAGATTGTGAAGATGGCATAGGATAGGACAGGGTTCAGGTCTGTTGTTCATAGGGTTGCTATGAGTTGTACTCAACTTGACGGCACCTAAGAACAGCAGCATACTGTAGACAAGATGGGATAACCAGTACCTAGCTTTACTTATTTTATACAGTCTAAATTTCTTACATTTAAAATGATTTCTGCCTTAAATTAAGTTGTTGTTAGGTGCCTTCACATCAGCTACAGCTCTTAACAACCCTAAAAACAACAGATTGAACCTTGCCCCAACCTATGCCATTGTATGATCTCTGTTATGCTCAAGCCCGTTTCTGTTGTCTTTATGTTAATCCATCTTATTGAAAGTCTTCCTCTTCCTGACTCTCTGTCTTTACCAGCTTAATATAATTTTCCAAGTATAAGGTCAACATGCCCAGAATGTGTTAGTCTAAGTTTCTCCATCTTTTCCTCCATATAACACCCTGGTTGCACTTCCTTAAAGGCAGATTTGTGTATTGTTTTAGCAGTCTATGGGATATTCATTATGCTTTGTCAGTACCACAATTCAGAGGCATCAGTTTTTGATCTTCCTTATTTGTTGTCCAACTTTAGGTGTATAGGAAGCAACTGAAAATGCCTTGAGTTGGATTAGGCACACCTTAGTCTTTAAACTGATGTTATTGCTCTTAAGCACTTTGACGAGGTCCTTGACAGAACATTTTCCCAGTGCAACATGTCTTTTTGATTTCTTGACTCCTGGTACTAAGGATATTGACTGTGGATGCAAGTAAGATGAAATGATTGACAATTTTAGTCTTTTATTTCTCCATCTGTCATGATACTGCCTATTGATCCAGTGCTGAGGATTTATGAAAGAACATTTTTGGGACACCTTATCTGCTGATTTATCTTTGGTCAAAATTAGATGATATAATTTGAAAAAATTAAGATTTGTCTTTTATTCTTGACTCAATGCTGTTTCATTTTTCCGTTACAGATTCAAAAACTTTGTGACCGAGTAGCTTCCTCTACTTTATTAGATGATCGAAGAAATGCTGTCCGCGCTCTCAAATCACTATCTAAGGTCTTTAATGATTTACAAATTATGAAGCTTGTTAAGTTAGATATTAATTACTTTAATACAGTTTGGGTTTTGTTGTTTTTTTTTTTTATGTGCAGAAATACCGCTTGGAAGTGGGTATCCAGGCTATGGAACATCTTATCCATGTTTTACAAACAGACCGGTAAGTTTCTTGGTATTTTAATCCTAATTTTTCTTAAAATTTTAATGAATTTTAGTTTCACTCTCCATTTCAGATGTGATTAATATATTAAATTATTGTTTTTTTCAATTTCAGTTGTTATTTCAATAAATATTTATTGGACCTCTGCTTTGTTATTTTAACTAAGCTGTGTTAAGGATAAGGAGAGACTGATTTAATAAATGTGAGGGCTGTCCGTTATATAGAAAGCAAAGTGAATTTTGCTTAGTATACATTACATTTATACCAATAGGATGATTACTTTGGAAAAGGGTAGGGACATGCATTATACAAATTAAATAATGCAGTCATACATATAGAAATTGTCAAGATGGCATATGTTTTATTTCACCATAATATTTTATTCTTAATAGAAAGAAGTAACTGTTAATTAAAGACATAAAGTTTGTGTCAGAATCAGACAAATGGATATATCATATTCACTTAGATTTACAATATGTAGAGCCTGTGAGTTCATTCCAGCTCACATTCACCTCCATTGGGTTTCTGAGGCTGTATGTCTTAGTAGAGGATTCACTGTATCTTTCTCCCATCATGTGGATGGTGGATTTGAACCTCAGTTGGAAGACCACCAATATGTAACCCACTGTTCCACTAGGACTCCTATAGATCATATATGCTCTTTTATGTATTGTATGTATGTATATATGTATGTGTGTGTGTATGTGTGTGTACACACACACACATACACACACACATATATACACATATAGTGTTGTATCATTTATTCAGACTTGCTTTTTTGGTAGAGAATAACTACACTAATAGAGTGAAGTGGTAAATTCAAGTGTGTCTTAGAAAGATTAGTTAACCTATTTTTAAGTCTTCCAACATCTCTTTTAGAGATTTTACTGGTATTTTTGCTTTTAATTAACAATTGTGCATGACTAGCTTTTAAATCTTACCTCTAGTTAAATGTTTCTTAAAGTTTCCACTGTTCTTTGGTTGGTTGTACTATACCTAGATCTCCCACAGGTTTCTCAAATGGAAGACATACAAAATTTAGTTTATCACACCTTTTTACATGTACCCCTTGCCTTTAACTGCCTTTTGCCCTGAGTTCATCCCAGTTGATAGTACCTTTCTATTCAAGCCAGAAAGTATTTATACTGAACTATGCAAGAGCAGAAGGTCATCACAAAGACAGAGGAGAAGGAAAAAACCAAAATGGATATCTGAAGAAGCTGTAAAAATTTTATTAGAGCATCAAGAAGCCAAAACAAAGGGAAGAGATATTGAAGTAAAAGAGCTGAACAGACTATTTCGAAGGGCAGCTTGACAAGATAAAGCATAATATTAATTATCACAAAATGTGCCAAGAGCTGAAGTCAGAAAATAAAAAGAAAAGAACTCATTCAGCATTTCTCAAGCTGAAAGAACTGAAAAACAAATTTAAGCCTTGAGTTGCTATAATGAGAGATGCACGGGCAAAATCTTGAGTGATCTAGGAAGTATCAAAGTATGTGGAAAGACTACACAGACTGAATGTACCAAAAATAATTGGTTGACACTTCGAAGCAAATTATTACTATTACATCTTTTTTTTTTAACTAATACTTCTTGATTTCATGTTTAATCAATTACAGACTGCAGAAGTTGCTTGTTGTGTGCTGTACAACTTCATAGTGATCATATGAACAACAGAGCTGAACCCTGTCCAGTACTGCATCATCCTCTGAAGCCCATTGCTGCAGCCATTGTGTCAGTGCATCGAGTTGAAGGTCTTCCACCTTTTCTAGAATGAATAGCCCCTTCTAGCAACACACTAACAGTATATGAGATGAGGCTTCACCTTCCTTGACTCTTAACAATCACTCTTGCTGCACACAAAAAGGACACATCAGTGTGTTTTTTTTGACAGTCCATGAAATATTCGGTACTCTTCTTTAACACCACAACTCCAAAACATAGATTTTAATTGACATTTTTATTCATTGTCCAGCTCTCAGATGCATAGCAAATGATTAAAACACCGTGCCCTAAATCAGATATACCCTAGTCTTCAAACTGTAAGTATTGTTCCTCAGTACTTTGAAGAAATTCCAGAAAGCAGATTTTCCCAAAGCATTACATCTTTGCTGTGGTTCCAAGTAAGATGAAATTGTTGACTATGTTAGTCTTTTCTCAGTCTGTCACGATGTTGACTGTCGGCCCAGTGGTAAGGATTTTTGTCTTGATATTGAGATATAATCCATATTGAAGCTTGTAGTCTTTGATCTTCTGCAGCAAAGGTTGCAAGTCCTCCTTACTTTCAGCAAGCATGCTTGTCTCATCTGTATAATACAAGTTAAAAAGTCTTCCTCCAATTCTGATTCTACATTCTTCGTAGAGTTTGGCTTCTGAGATGATTGAATAGGTATGGAGAGAGGATACGGTCTTTATGCACACATTTGCTTTTAAGTCATGCAATGTTTCCTTGCTCTGTTCAGACAGCAGCTTCTGGGTATAGGTAGAGGTTCATAGGAGCGTAATTAAGTGTTCTGGGGTTCCCATTCTTAATGTTAACCATCGTTTGTTAGGATCTACACACTCAAATGTTTTGCATAGTCAATAAAATACAAATAGACTTTCTTCTGGTAATCTTTACTGTCTTCTAAGATCCGTCTTAGATATCACCAGTAATACATATATCTGGTGCCATGGCCTCTTCTAAAGCCAGCTTAAGCTTGATCAGAAGGTGGTAGAAATCTTCAGTTTCTTTAGTTGCTTTAGTAGTCAGTGCATATTTTGAGTAATAGTTGTTTTAACAGCTTGTCCTTGTTTGTATATGACTATTATCACTGATAGTATTTTTACTTAAGATCTTGAAGTCTTCTTTCTGACAGTGAATGTGACACCATTCAATTTGTCATCCCCAGATAGTAGATCATACGTTATTTGATTCAGAATGGCCAGTACCACTCAGTTCATCTCAGTTTACTAGTTCCTGAAATAACAGTCTTTGTGGATTCCTTTTTTTTTTTTTACAACCTCCAATTTTCATAGTCTTTTTTTAAAAAAATTATTTATTTTTCATTTCAGTGAACATCTACAGAGATTTTGGAATTCCATTAATTGTTGCACCCTTCTGCCACCCCCCCCCATTTGCTCCTCTCCTTCAAAAGCAAAAGAAAAACTCCCTCATTGGTACACAGTCCCCCCCAAATATAATCCACTCTGCAACCCTCATTCTGTACTCTTACGATAAACATAATGCCCTAAAATATCATACTTTTAAAATATTCTCTCCCCCAAAGACTTCAATGCCATAAACATATTTTATCCAGTTTTTCTCAGTCTAACCCCCATCCCAATGTCAGCCTCATTCTACAGCAGTGGCACCATATAGCATTTGTCCCTTTGTCACTGAGATACCTCACTCAGCATAATGTCCTCCAGGGTCACCCATTTTGAATAATATTGCATGAGTTCCTTGTTTTTCAATGCAGCATAATATTCCATTGTGCGAATATACCACAGCTTCTCTACCCATTCATTTGTTGATGGGCATTTAGGTTGTTTCCAACTCCTTGCTATTGTAAACACAGCCACGATAAGCATGGGTATGCATATATCTACTTGGATGCCATTTATGGTCTCTTTAGGGTACATTCCCAGTAGTGGAATTGCTGGGTCACATGTTATCTCTATTTGCAACTTTTTGAGAAAGCACCACATCGCTTTCCACAGTGGTTGCACCATTTTACACTCCCACCAACAGTGAATAAGGGTTCCAGTCTCTCCACAACCTCACCAGCATTTGTTGCTTGCTGTTCTGTTAAATTTTGCTAGTCTTACTGGGGTGAGATGATATCTCATGGTTGTCTTGATTTGCATCTCTCTCAGAGCTAGGGATTTTAAACATTTCTTCATGTGCTTGTTGGCCATCTGAATGTCTTCCTTGGTGAAGTGTCTGTTCATATCCTGTGCCCATTTTTTCAATTGGATTATTCACCTTTATCTTGTTGTGGTGCTCAAGTATTTTATAAATTCTAGATATAAGTCCCTTATCTGACATGTCATTACCAAACACTTTTTCCCAGTCTGTGGCTTCCCTTTTTACAATGTTAGAGAAGTTTCTGGATGCGCATAGGGATTTGATTCTTAGAAGGTCCCATTCATCTATTCATAGTCTTTTTTACTCCAGCTTTCATAGCATCATTCTTCATACCTTCCATGTTTCAGTTTTTAGTGGGTATTTGCAGCTGTTTCTCTGTTTAAACCTTGCCGTATCAGCAAATGAATGTGAAAAGCTTTACTCCATTGCGTGAAAGCTTAACTCCATCTGTGTCATTAAGGTAGGCTCTACTTTGAGAAGGCGGCTCTTCTTTATTTGGCATTCTGAGTGTCTTCCTCCTGAAGGGCTCATGTTCCTGAACTATGTTGAGCAAAATTCTGGTGTTAATCATAGATTTTGCAGACAATTTCAGAGATGATGTCCAGTCCTGCTTCTTTGTCTGAAAGCTCAGCTGAAGGCTGTCCACCCTGGATGACTCTACTGATATCTGTAATACCGGCGACATAGCTTCTAGCATCATAGCAGCATGAAAGCCTGTAACAAATGAGTGCTGAGAGAGCAAGTCAGTGAGTGAGTCTTGATGGTAGAGGTAGTTTTAATTCTTCTTTTCCAATATAGATGCCTTTCATTTTGCTGCTGTTGTTGCCTCATTGTTCTGGCTAGCACCTCTGATTCAGTATTCAATCGTACTGGCAAGAATGGACATTACCATCATATTCTGGAACTTGAGACAGCTTTCGGTCTTTCTCTACCTTTATGTTAGTTGTGGAGTTTGCTAGATAAGATTTATCAGTTTGAGGAAGTTCTATTCCTAGATTTTCTCAGAATCTTCTTACAAGGTATTGAGAAAGTTTCTTCAGAATTTATAAAAAATAAACTGTATGAGATTTATAACTTCTGGTTGTAACCTAGTTCATTCTTTATCTTAGCTATCATCTGAACACTTCCTCACTCCTTGCCAGTCACTGAATCGTTGGGACCTGTTTCACACTCTTAATTTCAAATAATTAAAAAAAAATTATTTCAGAGGCAGCCAAAAAGCTGCAGCACAGAAAAGGTGGCAGTAAAATCTGGAGACCAGAAAGAGATTTACAGCCTCTGAAAACTAGCTGGAGGGGCAGCTATGAGTTCTTTTAGCTTGATGGCAATGAATTTTAGTCTCCTCTTTGGGAAAGTGGATATCTCCATTAGCTTATTCATTTCTCACACAAAGAGAGTTAAAGTTACTTTTAAAATTTTGTGAAGAAATGCACAATCTGAAGAGGATAAAATTGATACTTGGGACCTTCTAAAGCTTAAATCTATGTGTGCATCAAACACTTTTTTTCCAGCAGGGTGAAAAAAAACCTCCCTAAAGACTGGGAACAACATTTGGTAGTAACACTTAAGACAAGAGTCTTATAACAAAAGTTTACAGAATACTCCTGGGCTTTGACAAGAAACAGACTGATAACACAATAACAAAATGGTTAAAAGATATGGAAAGAATTTTCACAATGGAAGATATTTAAATAGCAAACAGACACGTTAAGAAATGCTCCAAATTACTGTAAATAAGAGATGCAAATCAAAACCACAGTGAGGTACCATCTAACTCTAGTAACAGTGACAAAGTTTAACAGGGCAGCAAGTAATAAATGTTGAAGAGGATGTCGTGGGAAAGGGACATACACTGTTGGTGAGATTGTAAAATGGTGCAACCATTCCAGAAGGCAATTTGGCTCTTCCTCAAAAACCTGAACATAGAAATTCCATATGACCCAGCCATTCCACTACTTGGAATATAC